GACCTTGAAGTGTCATCGACCTCGGAGTGTGAACCCATGAACGGACGGACGCACGCACGCACTCGGAAGGGAGCAAACACACACGACATACAGAACAAGACGCTCAGTCGGAAACGGCAAGAGTTTAAAAAGAACTATGAAGAAACAGAAGAAAGATAAAATCTAAAATAACTAAATAACCCTAGACCCTGGACTACTAAAACCTTTTGAATCGCGGATCCTTGACTAGCTAGAGCTACCTAAAGTTACAAACTGGCCGCGTGTTTCAAACATCACAACGACAGTCGAACAATACAGTGAAGAAAGCAGAAGTGATGAAAACAGAATATGAAAATGGAAATGAAAGAGGAAGAAGATGAAGCTGCATAGGACAATGAATATAAAATGCACATGATACAGCTGATTATATGAACATATGAAAAATACATATGGCAAATGTATCGGAAAATGTGCAGTATTAGCGGATTAGAAATTACTGTATAAATTCTATCACCCAAATGAGTTAGACTAGTGCGACACAATACTGGCATAGCTCACCTACTACGCCAGGACCACCCTTATCCGTATGAAAGAAATAATACAGTGACGCCGTGGATGAGAAGAGAACGAAAGAGGAAGTTGTGATGGAAGATAAGGAGGGTAGGGAAAGTTTTCAAATAGTACAGGTTAGATTTGAATATAAATGAGAGTCAGTGGTCTCTAAGGATGAATACACAAATGCAACAAAAGGGGTTCGCGACTTGCAGTATCCTTCTGCAACCCGGTCCTTCCAGTGACATCTGTATCTCGGGGACGGATGAAAAAAATGGCTTCTAGTTGTCTGTTGATGTTGTTTGCTAACTGCAGTTATCAGGCGCGAAGGCTTGCTGAATCGAACCGAAGAGTAGGTCTCTACCCAGGAGACACCGTACAACCGCCTCTGATTTGGATTCCACAAGTTTGGTGAAGTTAAATGATAATACACCGCGATGCCATATCTGCTATGATCAGGAGTGTCCTGAAAAACTGTCCACTTTTGGTCACACAACCAACCAAGAAGGATCACCATGTGGAAATGCTTACGTAGCATGGTAACAGCAGCAATATCAGTAGCCCCACATGTTACACTGAAGGCAATTTTTTCCTGTCTTACCCAGAAGCATGACGTAACAAGGCCAGTTGGAATGGGAACGTATTGATAGTACTTGTGTCGGTTGACTGGATTCGATAGACAAACTGCAGACACTGAAAAACCGATCCTGTTGGTCTTTGACGCACTTTGGAACTCCATAAACGCGCATTGAGCTTATTCAACTCGGACGGTTTCTGGGCGTTATTTGGGACAAGATTCGACTCGTCAGGCCATTCGTCATCCGAATCGCTGACAGAAGACAACGGTGACAGACAGAGAATACCCTGATCAGCTGTGATAATAGTCGACGGAGTCTTTACATCGGATTGTACGGTCCACTGGGCTCCACCCTCTCTCGGATCAGGTATCCAACCACACATGTTTCTTTGATCGAACGTGCAGTCCAAAGGCGAAATGTCGCGTTTGGATGGAGTCAGGGGGCGAGCGTCTTTCAAAGAACATAGAACAAGGCATAGGTGTGAACCGCGGGAATGGAGGGTAGCAGATTTAGTTCAGAGTTCTATCAAGCACGTACCAAGAGTGACGAATACCTGACTTTAATTGTTCTAAACTGATTAGACAAACGCACTTTCCAATTCACAAACTCCACAACATGAGGAACCATCATGTCTCACCCAGTTGAATGCCGCATCAAACTCAGACGTGTCTGAGGTAACCTAGGAGCCGCAATATGATAAACGAATTGTAAACAGCGAGGCGCGTCCGATCCGGTTGCGCGAACCTGACCACTCCAGAGACGCGCAGAACCCTCGGTAGACGTTGAACCTTGAAACGGAATAAGAAACGGGCTTAAGATTTGAGCTACCTGACGCTCTGAAATTTCCCAACTCTGGACTGGCCAACAAACATGCAGCGTATTTATGCGCAACGGTGTTGACTAAACGTTCTACTTCCCACCAGGCCAATACATCACGCGGATCATGACTCCATCCGCAGAATGTTTGGTCCTCGAAAGTGCAGTTCAACGGATCCATAACACGAGCCTGAGGTCGTAGACGTCGTGCAGTCACATCGTTTGTGAATAGCGCTGAAACGGAAGCGGTAGGACACACAAATGGTCTGCATCGAAAGGATTCAAGTGGTAGCCAGAACAGACAGATCTTAAGGCAGCACAGATAGGAGTTAAAGATTTATCTTTTGACCGTCAAGAACCTTCCAAATATCGAAGATGGAATTACCCGTGAATTGATTTTACAAATGGCTTTTACGATGAAAAACAACGATATCGAATTCCCAAAGTTAACAGTTTGTTGTAGATCGTATCGTAGAGCTTTTACTATATGGGCACAGCCAAGTACGTAAACCGTTGATTAACAGAAGGTAGGGAGAATTCGTATCAACGGCATCTACGGGACCGGAACTGCTAAAATGACCGAATTAACGTTCACTTAGATATGGATGAGCTAGGAATAATCCGCGACCGACGATAACTCAAGAAACCTTTCGAAATACACTACTCAGTAGTTAGGGAAGAACGGGTCTGTAAAAATTCTAGTTCACATCATTCGTTGTTGCATTTTACATCGCTATCGCATATCGTGTGTTCGAAAAGAAAACAGAACACGAGTCTGGTGGGTAGGTCAAGAATGCACTCTATGACCAGATAGACAATCTATGCAAGGTGAAATTCGTATGCGTGCGAACATCACCGTGTCTCCGTACTGAGACTGGACTGAGGTAGCCCCTATTCCTATGCCGTTTACGGAAACGACTGAGTGCAGACAGTGGAGCAGTCCAGGAGGTTGTTATGACCACAGTCGATGGAGGGGTAATATCGACAAGCGGGATAGAATCGGCAATAATGCATGAGAAGGCAGAAGTGATGACGATCAATAACACATACACACCCAAACGGAGATTTAAAAGCAGAAACATTGAGGTCAGTGGGTTAGGATTAGAGCTAGGTGAGATATAGGCGAAATGAGAGCAGCACCCGCATTGTGCAGCGTTTCAGCCTACGCAAGCGCATCCAGTAGGACCATTGTCCTCAGGTTTATAGAGCTCACCCCATTTGACGACGCAAAACAGCTAGTCTAGGAACAGCGTTGCTTTCATTCGTGGGTATCGTAGTTGCAGAACTATCGTGCGATTGCGTGACAACAGGTGTCGCTCCATTTACAATCTGGTAGTGCAGAAGTAAACAGGCCGGTGACTGGGTGACTTTGATCAACGGACCAAACATTCGAGCTGTGATATCGAAGCCGGGTGGCGGAGGATCCGCCTGGGTGTGCAGGTCTAAACAGATTGCTCCATGACGGTTGACCGGTTTCGTTGTGACCATCGGAGTGGGATTCAGGGCACTCATATCAGTTTGCATATTCCAATTTGAAGGCCAGTTGTTATGATCGTTCGCCCAACGGCACGTGGATCCATTGAAGCTGCAGTCCAACAGTGAAGGGACAGTGGATCCTGTAAGCGGGTCGGCTGATTTTCGTTCAGCCCGGATTTGAGCTGTAGAACCACAGAAAGTAGGACAATGTTAGCAGTATACCAGAAGCCGACGTTAGTTGTCTGGAATATTAATTTTTGTTGCGATACTGGGTGAGCTGGAATCATATATTATCTCGGTAGAACACGTTCGTTTCTTGGTAAGCATCAAAGTGTTACTCAACCGACACAGAGGATAGCGAGTTACCTGAAACACAAAGTGTCAATAAGCATAGAGTACCGAGAACCACAGGGAAATTGAAAGAGATTAAAGGGAATGAATTGGTCAAAGCAATGGACAGAACCGATGGATGACCTCCTCTGTCTCACCCTGATGAATGCCTAAGCAGGGACAACTTGGGACCAGGGTTCAGAGTAACATCACCTCCAGTCTGGATACGATAGGTTAGCCGAAGACATTGTGGTGATTTAGGCTCTGTGTTCCTTATTTGTGTCGTGCTAAGCTCGTCCGGTTCAGGCACAATCGAGCTACTCCACAATCGTCCAGTAGAAGACGATAAGCCCGGCCCAGTAGAAGACAAGCGATATCGCATATGACGACGTCGAGTTGCAGAAGTCAATTGCAAACAAATCGCATGACTTAGATCCGACTCAAATAACTCCTTGCTCCATACAACATCTGCATCTCGTGGATCTTCTTTCCACTCGCAGAACTTCCTTTCGGGGTCTTCAAATGCACAATCCAAAGGATTGGTGTCCCACTCTTGTTCAGGAATCGTTCCATAGGTGGGATTAGGGTGCACGTTTAGTTGTAAGGCATACGTGGCTGAAAAACGGTCGGGCAGTAAAAGCAAACGACGGAGCAATTTTTAAGCAGGACGATAAACGTGACCAAATAGACAAAGATCACGTGATGACGGTAACTCTAGGAGAGAAAATTCTAACAGATTTCAACCGATTTTATGAAGAAACATTGACAGCACAACAAAACATTTGCTGATGCGTTTTTTACTTTCCAATGGGATGAATAAATTTCAGTCATTCGAGAATCTTTCCTCCTTCAAATAACAAAATCTGCTGCACGTTCTCAGTACCAATCTGATGGTCTTAGGCTACGCATATACTATTTCGAAATGGTTTGAGCATTGATTTAAGCAACAACCTGACGAACCTAGGATAGTTGTCATGTCTGACAGCTAATGCACGTATCCATAAAGCTCCTTTCATGAAACCAACTACTCCCAGCTGAATGAAGACAGTGCCGTCTCGGGAGAACGACCGGCCAAACAAGATACCCGAATACGTATACAGTTTAGATTAAGATATCAGCAAACCACATCATCCAGATTTTGCCCAGAGAAAGACAATGCAACCTATAAAAGATATTGTTCCAAATGAAACTGACTATCAACATCTTTGTTAGACATGAATCGCCGATCCCATACAAGCTCTATAATATCGATGATCTAACAGCCTCCTTTGATCGAGAAATGCAGCCCATCGAAAACCATACGGTATATCAACCACAAGACAAGCAAATTCATATGACGAATGCTTTTGGAATTCGCTCAAATGCCTTTCTGTGACCGATTCCCGCTCACCCTTGGCGCCGAACAAGAAGGGCCAACTGTGGATGACGCTGGACTACTCGTGCTGAAGCAACTCCATTCTGTCGACCCGTTGTGATACGATAGGAAAGAGATACACATTGAGGTCTATCCAGGTCTTCCAGTTTTCGTAGACGAATCAGCGGACTCCAGAGACGAACGGCCAACACTTCATCGTGAAGCAATTCTTCCTCCAGTTCTTGCTTCATGTCCAAATAAATGTACGAATTGTTCGATGAAGAATGTGTAGAATCCCTCATGGACTTCCAACGTCCACCCCAATTGTTCACATCATGTTGCCATTCACAGAATGGGCGATTTGGTGAGGCGAATTTGCAAGACACGCGATCCGATGATTGTCGATACTGTGCACCTTGAATGAGAATTTGGAACGGATAACAATATGAATCAGAAAAGCGGGGAAAACTGAGACTGTCTGCCCCAACTCCAGAAGGAGCGGGCGAAAGACAAAGGTTAATACAAGCTTCAAAGAAAGCAATGCGTCGCAATTGGTCGCTACTCTCACCCTTTTTGTCGTTTCAACAAAGCCAATGTCGGCTGACTATTGTTGCCCAAACGGTTGAAAGACATATCACTATTTGAGTTCAGTCTCCCAGGAAAATAACGATAGGACACTTGCAAACACTGGGGCATGCCGATCTTGTCCATCAAAACTGGTTTGTGAAACGCTGATGCAAAATCAATTGTCGCGTCGTTAAACTCGTCCGAGCTGAAGCTGTCTAGCTCCTCTGAATCTTCCTCTTTCCCATCGCCGACAGAAGGACTCCACAATCGCGAAATCAGTGTCTCTGTGGTTCGGATCGTGGCTGGTCTATGCAAACAGAGCGCAAAATGGGCAGCAGATTCTTCAGTGGATGGGGCCAAAAGTGAACTGATTGATTGGACACGCCAACGATAACGACCCCAATCATTGTGGTCCGGATTCCAACGGCACTGTGCGGACGAATTGTGTGTATAATCACAATCGAGTAACTTCGTTGATGACGATCCGGCTGAATAAAAGAAATTGGGCACGAAGTGTAGAACAGACGAAGATGAGGACTACCGGTGGAAAGTATGACCATAATCTGATGACGTGTGATCTATCGGAGGATATCTATCGTTGCGGCTTCGCTTCAATGGGTGCGGTACACGGCACAACACCGATACGAAAAGGTAACGTGCTTGGGACAGCAGTAACAAAAAGGGCACTGTGAACAGCGAAGCAGAAGGATTACTAAATCCTGGTCTAACTAGCCTCCGAAAAAACGATACCCTTGAGGGGTTCCTGAGAGAACTCTTACCCTTCCTGTCTTTGCATCAAAATTAAAGAGGCAAATGCGAGGGGAACGTGCTCAATGTGATATGCAAAGGCTAAACACTTGAGCATATCTTCTCGAAGGAACTGGGGACTCCACAACCGGGCTTGAGCTGAGTCATTGATTGAACTGAATGCTTGATGACGTCGTAAAGGATTACTAGCACGTCCGCGGGAGAATTTGTGTTTGTCAGTGGGCGACACTGATAGACAAAGTGCTTGATTGATTGACGGCATGGTGTGAGTCGATTCCGGTTGCGTCACTGATAAATCAACTAACAACCAAGCATGCCGCCAATTATTCGGATCATTGGACCAACCGCACAGATCCTTGTCGAAAGTGCAAGTGACCGGATCCCCATCAGATGTGATCTGACTGAAATTAGCTGCAACAAAGTAAAGATCCACGGGGATGGATGTGTTCGTATAAGGTGCCACTGAATACAAAATCAAACTGCACGAGAACGGAAAATTGTTGAAGAAGATAGAGCCCCGAACTTAACATTTCTCGTCGGTCTATCACCGGTGCAAAGTCTTAGTATACAGGATATGAAACCTGGTAATGTAGGTAGTGGAATAGCATCGACTACAAACAATAGATTAGTGGTATGTTCAGTATCTGTTCTATCAAGACCACAACGCCATAAAGTCGATTAAAGCGTGCACGATACCAAAACGTCGAAGCCTTGAAGTGATTTTGAGTTACGCAGCAAACTCCGATCGCACGAGGATACAACCGACGAATAACAGCACATATGCACGTGTAGATTGCTAGCGAACGGAGAAACTCATCGTAACTGAAACGTGCGCGTTTCAACCTTGAAACATACGATATCGGGAAACATAAATACTTGCAATTTTGTGTTTTGAGAGTAAGCACCAGATAAGAGGAAAGTAGAAAAAAGGTTTCGGGTCGAAATGGGACTCAGGGCAGATGAAAAGAAGAGAGCAATTTCACAGTCTAGTGCATATATGTATATTCAAAGATCAAGTAACCAGGAAACCCATTCCAGGGATGAATGGAGTCGAAAGAACAAAGGTAAGCCACTAATGATAATGAAAACAGGAAGCCAACAAGATGCTGAATTAAATCACCCTTCAGAACGACGGAGCAGAGCCAATTGAATACCGACTGCGGTCGACTGAGATGTTTTCGGTTCACCCAGTCGCAGTGAGTACGTTAACACCAGACAACCGAGCTGATCAACTGGTCGAACTGGTGGGCTCCACAAACGAGATTGAATATCCGCATCATCTGACGAAACATCTTCAACGACGCTGATCGGGACCTTGGACCAAGGAGAACGAAAAGATTCAGGTCGCGCAATGGAACTCATTTTTGATGTAAGGCATAATGCTGCAGTGTCCTTCGAGGTTTCCCCATCTCGTATCACATTCCAGCGATGCTTCCAACTATTTGGATCGTTGATCCAACCACAAGTATCAGTTGTGAAATCACACACGTGTATCGGATCTGGTTGGGCTGGAAAGATGACATGCATACGTTGAGAAGTCTAGCACATATGGTAGCCCAATATGAGATCCAAAATACCCTCAGAACTAGCGGAGAGTTGAGTACCAGGATGAACTGAAATCTATACACCATGGAATGGTCAACACTTCAAACAAAAGAATATGACCAGCAGAAATGAAACAGTGATACATTCACGTGTATCCAGCGAAGAGATGAGATTGGTGCGTTCGTGGGTGATAGGCAGTGACGCCACAAACTACTGAAGGGAGCGAATTTTATCGCTAATGAGAGATAACACGTGTTTACGCTTAATTTCGAAAATTCACATTTTTCATTACAAACCGGTTTGTGAAACCGCAGAACAGGTGAACATCGTAGTTATAAGAACAGACTATTGGCTCATAAAAACCAGTTAGCTACGCCCCGATACTTAGATTGGCGGGCTACATAAAGCCCCGATAAGGTCATTTACTGCAAGATTGTTCTCACAGGATCGTACAACAGTGCATTCACTATTCCCCTTTCTGGGTTGTTCTACTTTTATGACACCTTTCGAATGATGGACTGAAAACGGGAAACACCATAATCAGATGGACCTGCTTCCAATCATGGAAACCGGCTACCTAAAACCAAGGACAAGGATTGACGAATCACATGAGACCCTCACTAGGTGGGGCGTGATATTGAGCAGGAGGACGGATAAGCTGCCTACCACAAATCGTAATCGAACTCACAATCAGGTTCATTATTGTCTTGAGGAGATCGTATTCAACGACTTCATCCACTCAGGGAGATTCTACAATCATATCAGAGTATCAGCAGTGAACGTGATGTGTAGTGCGCAAATGAACAGCTCTGAAATGTAACGAGCCACACTGAAAAGATCGCACGCTATTCTATGACTAATTTATGCACAGCTATCTTAGTTGTTGCACACAAAGCACATTCTCAAACCAGAAAAATCTCACAAAAACATTTATGTTCGTAATGCAGCAAACGTTCGAGTTTCGGTCGATGATCGAGTGGACGAAGGATACACCTGAATCAGAAAACCGCAACAGTCGAGGCAAATCAGATCAAGCTTTCGGAATGTTTGTCAGTTGAATAGTAAATCTCTTCCTTACTATCTCACGTACGGATGCATCAAATTCCAGCTTTAATCACAGGTGATTGTTGAACGACGCACGGTTATCCTAGTCCGTCACTTGCAAATCAGAATTGCCGCCGTCCGTCTGAATTACGGTGAATAGCGCAACACGAAAGCGTTTGAAATCCTCACCAGCTAAGTATTCCTTCAATCAAAGCAGTACAAGTCTTCCTGGATAGTGCATCAAAGCTGGCGGAAGAATGCGGAGTCGGACAATACTATAAAGAACATCATTTCCTGATGCAGACTTTGAGAGGGAAAATGGCCGCCCCTTAGAAAGAGATGATATTCGAAAGACGCCAGAGGTTTTCGCGGCTGTCACTGGCGTGTTTTGGAACCTATGGTCCGAGGTTCGAGCCCCGCCATCACCACCCGACCTCGGTGATAGGCAACTTTGCTGTCGTCCGGTTCAATAACATGCCTAACCTAGCGGGGCTTTGTGGATCGCCACTCGAAGTTAGGGGGGCTTAGGTTGCCGGTTTCCATCACTGAACAGCAGGCCTTCGTAACTATGGCGCTTTCTCCGTCTGCTGTTCATCACACTAGGGTGTATAATAAGAAAACAGTTGACTTTTTTCTTCTGCACGAGACGGAGAGTGTATTATGTGATTCAAGTACTATGGAATAATGGAGATGCGGTCAGTGCTCTTCGCAAATTTCCTGATCGTTGTCCGAAATTCTATTATGCTTCTGGCATTGATGACTAAGGGTCAAACCCCTATAGGTGGTATTCGAACAGAGAGATCCAGCACCAAATTGTTAGATATGAAACCAGTGACAGTTTAAAAATACAAATAAATTATTGCTTTGTCCGTCCGAAGATGAAACAGTTCTATACTCCAAATCGTTAACAGGTGAACTGCATCCCAATGATCGCTCCATAAATACCATAATTTGTGTATTAAACTGGACCTGATCAGTTGAGTATGAGGAGTATGTAAGTAGGCAGAATCCGAGGAGTGACAAAAATGTTGCACGTTTGATGCAGAGGAGTAACAGAACCCCCTTAATAACGTGCTTCTCAATCTTGAAACTGCAACAAAATCCCGTCGATCTCAAGAACAAATACAGCAGAGCAGGCGTCATCATCATCATCATCGTACGGCGAAATACAGAGAAACGAACTTCACTGATCGCTGCCAAACTCGCAATGCATACGCATTGGGGTTTGATGG